CCCCCCGGCAGTGTAAGCAGCGGCCTGAACACCACCTTCAGGCAAGCGGATTTAGACAAAAAGAAGCAGATAAAGGGGGTTCCCTGAAGAGGTACGTTCTTTGCTGCACAAACATGATCAGAATCAGGTTCTATGGCTTAGAAAAAGCAATAGGAAAGCTCAGTGAGGTGGAGAGGACCGGAGGGCTCAGGCCATCCAGCTGACAGAAGTCTCTCCCCTGTAGGCTGCTGGTTGGTTTGTGTGGCCGCAGCGGGCACACGCTCTTCAGTCACTGGTGGCTTGGGCTGGTGTCCCCGTTCGGTTCCTACCAGCGGGCTCTCAGCTGCACAAGGCTGGGAAAGCAGGGCACTAGGGCCAGGACAAAACTGACTGGGCAGACCAGTTCCACCTCTTCCCTCCTCCAGGAAACCCGTCCCTATCAGTTTGCCAAGAGGCAGCATCAGGGGAAGGGCTGTATTGCCACTGTCCATGCCAAATGCGTGATGGAGGAATACAGGGAATTTTGAACAAGTTGTTAGTCTGTTATTTTAGGAAAGCAACACAAGAGCAGCTGCCACATGGAGATGTTCTTTGCAGGACTCTAGTCATCACAGTAGATGTCTTATTGCCATTATGCCTCTTACAAAACAGCATTACTAGAAAGCTGGAACTGGAGATGAGTGGTCATTGCAAGTACAAACATTGTGGCTGTACAACGTCGTGTCCACAACAGGAACAAGGGGTTTGTTCCTACCCAGAGCTGGATATTGCTGGGAAAGAAGACTTGGATTCTGTGCACCTTTTAGGAGCAGGGAATGGTTGTCTTAAAGACAGAAAACCATTAAGTCCCAGACACTAAGCCCGAGGGGAAACCAATCCCATTCACCTGGTTAAGCATCAGCCCTGGAAGGTTGGCTTCAAGACTGTTCTTGGCGATGCTAAGTCAGTCTGACCGGTGGTCTCTAGAGCTGCAGACACCGGATTTATTGTCTTAGGTGAGGAAGTTTGGAGCAAGCAGCATCCTGGCAGACAGTGCAGGGTAACACATGCGTGATTGTGAAGCTATCACATCAACGTCTTTTCCCTATGAATTACCAGTGTAGTTTATTTTAAAATCCAAGTGAGGCTACCGAGTCACAAGTCACAGTGGTGTTCCCAGCCAGGACTGGCTGTCACGTCACTCATACTCACACAGGACATGATCTAGATAACTGTGCAAGGCTTTTCCTTCCAGGATTCCCCTCCACGATGCGCAGTAGAAAACCCGAGGGAAGTGGTGGGATTGTTTACTGGCCCCGTGAGCCAGCAGGATCCAGCTGGTTCAGCTCAGACTGATCCAGCAGTTCAAAGTCATCCCCTTCCGCATCAGTGTCCAAGTCCGAGCTGGCCGTTCTAAGGTAAGTCTTTGCACTTCTCTGGGGATTGTCGTTGCGTGAGGAGCCTGCCTGAGGGGCTCCTGACAGCGCAAGCTGTATCATCCCTCTGGTGACAAATCCAGCTATGTTGTTAGTAAGATTCCGTACAGATGGCAGTGCTCCAGATTCTTCCTGGTCATAAGGGAGATGCAGCTCTTCCGTTACTTGTGGGCGATAAGCCAGACTTGGGATCCCAATGCTGGTGTCATCTTCGTCATCTATGCCAGTTGCTTCTGGGTTTATGGAAGGGAAGTCGGGGAGATCCCTGGCAAAAGATTCTTCTGGGTCACTGTGACCATCCAGGTCTAGAAGAGGAGAAAGTGCTTTAAATACACACCACATGCCAAACACCCTGCAGGCAAGGGCAGCACAGCACACAAAAGCTGGGCCATTACCTCCCCAAGACAGTCTGTCTCTTGTCATCTCACAGACCAAACGCTCTTTAATGTCCCCCTCACACAGCTATTTGGGATGCCTGCTGACCTCCCAGTTCACTCGCAAGGAATGCAGATGCTGAACCAGGCACCTTCTGCCAGAGGAAAGCACCCCCTCCCAGACTTAGCGCTGCAACCTGTATCCCCACAGGCAGAGACTGGCACAGCTGGATCTGCCTTTGAAGATCAGTTCTCATTTCTCTACTAAAGCACCACAGGAATTAAGGAAGCTCAGTTCTGAAAAAACAGGTAGTCGCATCTCATCTTAGCCAGTAAGATAGACATCAAACAACTAGACCTCAAGGACAGAAGGCAATGAATGCATCCTCCCTCCCACCCATCACACCAGCACCTGCTCAGCATTCCACACCTTCCAGAAACTGCCCATTTCTTCTCACCTTCTGATCCCTCTGTCAGGGGAGTCTGGCCCCTCGAAAGGTTAAACATTCCATTTTCAGTGTAGGAAACCTCAGCATCTGAATGCTCCGAGTCAGAGATTGTTAGTTCCTTGGCGACCACAGAGTCATCCAGCTTTGAAATAGGCGATAAAATTGAAAACATCAATACTGGAAAGCTTATTCCTGTGCCTCAAGCCAAAACACATGATCCAGTGGCCACCAGTTAAACCCAGACCTCATGGGAGACTGGTATCTGAGGCTCATTTCACACCTTACTGCCCAGCCTAGGAGACCATAGTTGGTACAAGCAGTGCTGGACATACTTCAATGAGACAGAATAGGAAAGATGTCTCTAAAAGGAGAATATCCTCATCTGATTTTCCATCACAACTCAGCTACAACGTGCTGGATACAGGGCCACGCACTGCATGTCCACACAGTGCAAGTTTGCTCTATTCAGCTGAGGTCTTCTATTTCAGGGATGCTTTGTTACCTTGGGACAGAATGCAGCAAGCTCCTCTTCACTGTCACTCCCATCATCCACAGCCTCCTGATTAAGGGATTGGCGACGCACTGCCAGAAACCAGAGTCAAAGCTTATTATTGCTGCTAGGCCAGGGGTCTGTACATAAGGACTACCCTTATGCCAAACAGAAAAACCCTACACTGGCAAGCTTGGACATAACATAACACAGAATGCTTTGTTCCACAGCAGAGCAATGTGATCATTTCTGACTTGGGCTGCTGCAAACTTTTTGCTGAGATGAACACGTTTATCAGCTACCTTGCACCGAGTCCTTTCTCTCTTTTCAGTGCAACTGCAATATGGAACACAGAGTTATGGCAGCTGAGAAACAGAGCAGCTCAGCACGGGGAACTGCTAATTGAGAAACGCCTGCAGAGGCAGAGCTGCTTTGCTTCCTTCACAAAGCAGTTGCAAGTATTTACTAAGGGCACGGGAGTGGCTGCCATGCCATACACACAGCCCTATCCCAGTCCAAGACCAGGGGCTCAGTTCACAGGCTGTTTCAGGTACTAAGGGTCAGAAACACAGTAAAGAAACTTACGTTGCTTCTCCCGCTGCTTTGATATCATGTAGCCTCGAACGCTGAAATCCAGCCGCTGCAGAGCTGGCTCCAGCTTCATGTACATGCGCTGCCCCAGTCTGTGGTACACAGCAAGGGGCCACAGAAGGATGAAGAGCACTGAGGTAAGTGGGAATGCTGGTTAGAAGTTTGTTCAGGATGCTACTTGGCAAACATCTTGCCCATTTTGTGATGCAGTATAACACACACAGTATGCAAGATCTGAGTACTGAAGGCAATGCTGCAGGAGGCTGTTAGTATTGGTGCAATCACCTCTACCAATTTAACAAAATTGAGAGGCCAACCTATTAGTGCTCAGATCTATGGTTACTAAGCACTCAAAAATGTTCTCTCTGGACCAGAGACCTTAGAGTCCTGGTCAAGAACCACCACATTCCAGGCAGAATGCATTATTTTAAATTTTGAAGCCATTCACATAAGCTTTCCTTTGGAGGTGAAGAGCCCCACCCCTCGGACATTCAGATCCCACTCATCTCTACCCATTTTCACTTGTAAGTCTGCATTGGCACAGAGATCTACTTACACAGCAAGTATGAGAGCAAGAGTCCAGGGATATACCGGCCCAGGACAGCCAGGAAAGTAAAGACTCCACACACTAGAAGGCAAAACTGAAGACATGGGAGACAGTAAGTTTCCAAGGGTAAGCAGTGGATTCACTCCGTTCGTGACCATCTTGTTCTCTGCAGATTCTAGGTTGAGCCTAGCAAAGCCTTCCTAGCATTCAACTACCCCACTCTAGGACTAGTGCAGACACAGGAGGTATCTGGCTTCAGAGCAACAGGCAACCTACCAAGGCCTCTGCCTCAGAATATGAAGAGCTTCCCAAAGCAGATTTGCTAAAAGCAAGGAAGAGACTAAAGATGACAGAATTCTTTGAGATGAAAAGGACAAGGACAATACCACCATGTTACAGGTTCCTCTTTGCATAAGCCTCAAAAAAGTAAAAAAAGCTTGGCACACTTTCTCAAACTGTTAAAATCCAGTGAGATAGTTGAATTTGACAGACACTTCAAAAAGCTAGAAAGTTCAGAAGGAGCAGCTACATTTTCATTTCACAAGTGTAATCAACATGCTGACGCTTGTTTTCTTCTCCCTCTTCCACAACCTGATTACTCTGCCTGTATTTTCTATTTCTTTCCACCACTTAATAGCCATGCTGTTGTGGGAGACCTCCCGTGGTAACTTCCCATGTCTGAATGCATTCAGTCAATGCTGAGTGCCACCACAAAAGGATACTAGCGGTCAGCAGAGGCTCCACACCAAACATTTTATTTGCTGAGGTCTGTACATTCTTACCTTACCAGGGTTTTGCCTCTTGAAAATGAAGAGATTACTTAAGAAGCTGGTCCCAGCCACCCATCCTTCAGCCAAATGGTGACAGAGTTCTGGCACACCAAGCAGCCGAGGGTGAACGTATCCCCAGCTGCAGTGAAGGGAAGTATTCGGGAACAGTATTACTGCATTGATGTCAGTGCAGAAGTCATTTGTTACAAACACTTGTAGCAATACAACCTTCTCTTCTCCCCCAGCTGCTGGGTTCTAGAGATGAGGGTCAGCCTGCCTTTCAAAACAACGCCTTGCCAAAAGCAGCACTTCTATGTACTGTTCCACAAGTGTCCCAGTTCCCCCATAGCAGCTAAGGAGCAGTAATTTCAGTCATTCAGTCTTTTGGCTTATACTAGTTTCCATGCTACTGGAGGGAAAGGGCAGTGCAGAAGCAAATCACGTGAATCCATTTGCTTTTTCTGCATTTGGTCAACTGCAACCCCCAAGAATTCAGCATGAGGTTTACAAGCAGCCTTGTACCTTACTTAATATATTCAGTTACTTTGGAGGCATTGTCTTTGGCAAGTTCTATTAGTGCTTCTTAACTGCTAGTTACAAGTACTTGAAGGTTAGGAAGAAAAATTCCTTTTGTACTTGGGCCTCTTGCAAAAAAAAAAAAAAATTAAATTGTCATTTGGCAACAGCTCAAGTGATTTAATCGGGAACTGAGCATCCAGTGTGGCTCAGCAGCACAGGCAGGCAGGTGTGCCCAGGGAGAAGAAGGTGTTATTAGTAAGACAACACCCCAACATTTCTCAACCCATTATTAATGCTGCAGTCAGATCATAACTATGCAGTAACAACTTCTGGGACAAGCCTGTTAAACATTCCCTATGTAACCCAGAAGATTTAATTATTAAAAAAAAAAAAAAAAGTTGTTTTCTTGCTACTGAAAGCCCATACAGAAGGAATTGCTTTTAAGGCAGCACTTCTAACTTAAGGGTGCAGGGGGCAAGTGTCAGGGGAATTTTTACAACGCTCAAGCAAGCATTATTGGAGGTCAGCAGATTAAGTATAGTATAACGACTTGGGCAAATCACAGACTTGTCACAATGGCTTGACAGAGTCCAGGGCTCCACTAAGCAGCTCCCTTCTCTCCCTTCCTTCCTCACTGAAAGGAGCCAACATTACAAGCACATGCAGGTAATAATTACATAGTATCACAGCAAAGTACCAAACAGCAGAGGGTTCAATTAGTTTCCTACCTCTCATTGTCTAATTCATCAGGTCTTGCCACTAAAATATTAAGAACAGACACTACATTAGTCGCAAGGAATTTGCCATGAGAACGCTTAGCTCTTGGGATTTAAGTAAAGCCTTAATGAGCTGGGGAATCCCTGGAAAAGACATTAACTGTAATTAAGAACTGGAGCTACATCACTCCATAACACATTTTGAACACGTACTTGTGACAGTACAAGACTGAAAGAGAGTCTCCCTGTTGCTCTTCAATATTTGTTGGACATTGTCTGGAAAGCTGCTCTGGTTACAGTAACAGGTAATAGCAAAAAAATACCAGTTTCATCTCCCTCCCTTCCCCTGCACACACCAAATGGTGAAAGAACTACAGTTTGCTTACTGAGAGGCATCAGAGATTCAAGTCTTTTTATACATTCTCACCCAGCCTTGAATTTGCAAAGTGACCCAGGGACGTACTAGTTATCCTGAGAAATTGAAATCAAGGTTATGAGGGAGCTAGACAGACACTTCCTCATCACTTCAGCTACAGAGCCTGAGCCAACATGCTGCTAGAAACCGAGGAAAGCTTTAATGTCTTCCCAAGAACTACAGAGAACACAAGTTGAAGCAGAAAGCTGGGAGTTGTACTTGCTAGTTAGTTACAGAACGACCTCTGGGAGCATGCAAACAATCCACACTGCTTCAAAACAAACCTGTCCATGCAAAGCCAACAAAATTCTGAGCTGCTAAGAATGGTAGTATTCATGAGTACGTTAATATCATAAAGGATAGACAGAACTGCTTTGTTTACTGAAAGCTTTATTCTAACTTCATTAACAGCCCTTAAGATGCCTCTCCTTTCAATGAAATCTCTACTCAACAGCAAGGCTGGGACTCATTTTTGTCCTAAAACATGAACCCAGTTTATCACAGATGCTGAAGAGAAATCCAGACATATTCCACATATGCTTCAATTTCTTGCTTGTGTACTGAATGCTCAGAAGGTGAATCACTGCTTCAAAACATGTACTAGTTCACGTATGCCCGGTGTTTCAAGATTATGAGACAAATACCAGTATCACAAGCATGAAAAGCTCTTATGTTTATATAAGTTAGGATTTTCCAATACCAGGAAGAACACGCCTACAGTATTCTTGCTTGCTTCTAGACTGACAAAGAAGATGATTCAGGATTTTATCTATTTAACTCCAAACAATGTAGCGCCTATATACTTCTAGGGCTAAGACCAGTGCTTGATTTGCTGGCATCAATGCAAATGTTGCAACTTACCTCCAATTTCAGGCCAGATTCTGTTCTTCCACTGATCTAGACAAACTACTACTATGAGGGCAAATGCAATCAGGAACAGCAAGCGAAGAGAAGTCAAAGCAAAAAACCTACAGGGAAGAAACAAACAAATCAGTACTGACCAGGGTCTCTTTGACACTCTCAAAAGGGGTAACACAAACTAACTGAAAATGAGTCAGTCAGTAACAGTTGTAGCCAGAGAAAAGTAAGCAAGCGCTAATCAGTCAGCATCCAGCCTGCCCTTGCTGCCTGGTGCAGAGCTTATCAGGCAGGCAGCTGCTATCAGGCTGCTTTAGGGCCCTTTATCTGCTCATGTCATTTCTAGCATGATGGCAGTGGCTCATAGCTCACCTGTCAAGAGGCAAGCAGAACCTACTACCCTTCCTCTGCTGTTCACAGAATAGCTTTGGGTTTGCTGATTAGTTTTATGCTTTAAGATAACAGGGAAAATATGCTGAGAGGGACAGAGCTGAAGCAGGCATCAGCACTTCCAGGTTCCTTCTTGTTTGCTGAAATAGGTCACAGATTCAAGTTCTTAGGTTAGCCACTCGGCTTCCACCTCCAACCATGAGCTGCTCTCAGCCAGCGTGGGGGGACCCATCGGTCCTGCAGTAAGCGGAGGGAGCATTCCTCCCTGGAGGACTCGCTCGCCAGGCCCCAGGACAAGGGGGACGAGGGAGCCATGGGCGTGTCGGCAGGCAGGGCACAGGTCGCTAAGTGCCCTCCGCGCGCCGGCCTTTGCTGCCTGCACCCACCCGAGACCCACTGCCCCAGGGAGAAAGCCCGTCAGGGCAGCGCACCGAAGCTGGGGCTAAAACAAAACGTCCCCCAGGCCAGGGCATTCCGGC